TTCCCCCCCCTCCCCGCTGTCCACTCGTCTGCTCTGGCGTCTCCGAAGGAGGCAGTGGGGGGGGGTAATCCTTCTGTTTCGATGGTGAGGCCTACGAGGTGGTGGTGCTTGTCGCGCGTTCCACCGACATCGTGAGCCGGATTTCGTCCGTTTTTTCCGAAACGTTAACTTTATTCTGAATCCACGGGACCCTCGACGTCTGCCTGCCGTGCAGTAAAATCTGAACTGGAATGCATTGACAGCGTAGCGGAAGCGTCTTGAACCTCAAGAAACGTAGCAGATCTCAAGTTCTATCCTACCATTACCGATCCCAAAGCCGTCCTTCAACTGCTCCTTCAGTACAGCTGAAGGGAAGATCACTAGGCGTATACGCACGTCAGCTTTGCAAAAGTATCTATGTATGATGGTCAGCTGCGGATGCTCGGCTAGAACAAGGGAGGATGGATGAAGATCCCCGTGCCGTAACTGAAGGTATTGGTGATTACGACAATGCTCGAAGACTCTAGACTGGAAGATGCGTACCTATTTTGGTTAAAACGTTGAGATGGTTCTTCGCTGTATCAGTTCTGATGCTTATTTTCGTGGATATGGATACCATTTTTTAAAGCCTTTTTATATATCAAGCGAGCCAATTCGCACAGAATTGTAGCTCAGGTTTCCTCTATTATGATTCCATTGTTTCAAAAAAAAAAAACTGGTTTTTGTGACTCACACAGGATTGATAGGGTGTACATATGTATTCAAATAACTTCTTCCCCTGGAGCAACACATTTTTACCCAATCAAATGTTCGTTCACAACTTTTAGCGAATAGGTGCGATAAAAACTAGTAGTTGACGGTCTAGTTTTTAGTAGTTACTGGTCATGTCATACGAAGCGAAGATTTCGCATTAGTAAGAGAAGACCTTATCGTAGTAGGTAAATGTCTTGTAGTAGTAGTCAAGTATCTGTTTTAGTAGGTTGTCATAGTACTAAAATAACTTGCCGTAGGGAGCAAATAGTATTTGCATATCATGTCACAGCTACCATACATATGTTTAGTGCACTTTGTTGGGGCTTTTTGTAACTTTCTCTTTTGGAAATGACTCTATCGGTGTACTTTAGCACTTTTATTGCAAAACTGGTAGTTTGTTGACTGGATCGGTACGTTAAAAACAGCTGGGTATTTTCAGTCTTTGGCGGTGTGTTAATATGAATTGTAACAGGTCTATTGTCGCCTGCTTGCTGGCGAGTCAAATGGCCCGTGCTGCCGCTAC